GAATAACCACCTCTGCAAATTTATGCTGGAAACGTTGGTAGTAACTAGCCATTCCAAAGAAACTATGTAACTAAGGATAAGATGCCGATGCCATGTATGGATGATATCTTAGAAAAGCTTGGTGAAGCACGAGTGTTTACCAAGATTGATCTGAGGAGTGGATATCATTAGATTGCAATGGATGATGCATCTATCTCCAAGATAGCATTCAACACAAGTTTCGGGCATTTTGAGTTTACAGTTATGCCATTTGGTTTGACGAATGCACTAGCTACATTTACTCGGTTGATGACGGAGGCATTTGGGCATTATCTTCATGAGTTTGTGGAGATTTTCTTGGATGATATTATTGTTTTTAGCAAGAATATGGAGGAGCATAGGGTGCATTTTTGCAAGGTTTTTTTGTTACTTCGTGACAACAAACTTTATGCGAAAAAGAGCAAATATGAATTTGTAAAGTTGGAGGTGGAATATTTAGGCCATATTATGACATCTAAGGGTGTCAAGACAAATCCAAGGTGGCTGTGGTGAAGAACTAGCCTACACCAACTACAATGGCCGATTCTTGTTCAAGGCATGGTAATCAATACACATCCACATTGAATCATCTTTCTTCTTCACAAGCAAGACCGGAGCACCAAACGGAGACTTACTTGGCTGAATAAATCCAAACTCAAATAACTCCTTGACTTGTCGTTTAACTTCTTGCTCCTCCACATAACTTAACTGAAATGGACACTGGTAAATTGACCGTGTCCCTGGCTCCAATATAATCCCATGCTCCACACCTCGTAATGGAGGCAACCTATGAAGAAGTTCAAATGGAAAAACATCAAAAAACTCATCAAGTACATCCTATAATGTTGCTTCTCCCCCACACATGCCTTGGTCCCCCAAGTCACAAACAAATAGCAAATAACTCGAAAGTGCTTTTCCATTACGACAAACCTGCTTCAAAAATGTAGCGGAGAGCATAACAACTGGAGGTTGAACTCCTTCTCCAAACCACACATCTTTAATGCCACCATACTCCAGCGAGACATGCTTAATACTCCACTTTATCTCTAGATCCACTTTCACCAACCATGGCATCCCAAAAATGAGATCCACATGATGAATATCCGCGAGATAAAAAGTCTCCACAAATGTGGTTTTGCCAACCAACACTTCCAGTCCCTCTACACAAGTATTAAAATGCTGAGCAAAGGTAGCTGCACCTTCCACCAGGAACTCCACATATGACCAGGCCATGCTCCACAACAAACTTTGCTGAAACAAAGTTGTCATCACTCCCACTATCCAATAAAATCTACACTAGACCGCCATGGAACACGCCCTCCAGCATTAAAGCTGATTCACGAGTATTCTCGAGCTCCATCTTATTCCACACACAGTTGAGTTGACGAGCAATGATCAAAAGCCTCTTCCTCTGACCAGAATGGTCATCCCCATCATCCTCATGCTGCAAAGTTTGCAACTTTTTAATATCTAACTTACCGTCAATAGAAGATTGGCCATTCTTCTTGCTCTGCTGCTTGTTCTTCAACTGTGGACAATCAGCTTTATAGTGTCCAAGCTTGTCGCAATGATGACAACCCTATCTATAATTCTTCACAAAGAACTTCTACTTTTTGGACACCTTTGCATCTGAAGTAGTCACCACTGACTTCAACTTGTGATGCTTGTTTCCATCCTTGTGTCCACGGTGATCATCACAACGATTCTCAACAGAAGGACTCTATGAACACTTGCGAGACTTATGCTTGTCATTTTCAAGTCGACGAGCCGCATCAAAGAGCTCCTCCGAACTCTTTGTAGGCTGAGAATGACGCAAGTGTTGCCACATTCTCTCACTATGAAGGCTATAAATGAAGTAGGACTTATTCTGATCTAGATCTTTCGCTGGAACACGGCTAATCAAGCAAGTAAGCTTCTCAATATAGTCTTCAAGCATCATTTTCCCTTGCTAAAAATGTCGAAGTTCTGTACGAGCATTTTCCACATTGTAGTGAGGGGCAAAACATAAATGGAAAGCAGCCTCAATCTCATCCATGGTAGACATTGGTGGTTTCTTATTTGCAACACGAGACTCCTCAAGCTAATTCCACCATTGCAGACCCGCATCACGCAAAACCATTGGAATAGCCACTAAATCCTTTGCATCTAGAGTTCCCCTAGCAGCCAAGAACTTCTTCACATTGGCTAGCCAAGTGAGACACTCATCCACACCACCATCACTGGAAAAGGTTAGAATCTTGAGTCGATCTACCAAGGAAGGCTTACTTGGAGTGCTACCATGTCTAGCCTCGAGTGCCTCAACACACCCACGCATGGTATCCATCATGCCATGCATCTCATCTTGCATCTCTTGCTGATTTCGATTAATGGCTTGCAGCACATGAACCACATCCTGAATGGTCCAAATCTCTGCAGCTCCGTTGGCACTATCATCGGCACCACTATCAACAATAGGATTCCAGCATTCAGCTTAGTCAGCCATCACAACTAACTTCTCTGATCCTAATATTATGATCTAGTGCAAAAAGACAGAGATTTAGTTGGCCTAGACTATGCTACACCACCTCTTGAGGTTCCTCACCACCCAACCACCCCCGAGGTACCTCAAAAGCTCCACTGTATTGCTACTCCATTGTAAGCCCTATGGTAGGTTAAGTCCCTTACCCTCACATGCCTTAATATACCCTTGAGCCTTCCTTTGACCAATGTTGACCACGTGGTCAAAGCTAGCGCCTAACAGAAAGATTGAGCATAGTGAGTCGCTTGGTATATTGGCTAAGTATGGCATTTTTTTTCCACTTTTTTTCATTTTTTCCAGAAAAGTTAACAAAAAAAACTCATAACTTGTTTAGTAAGTGAATTAAGTCATTTACCATTTTATGGGCATAAAATTCTGCTTAAATCCAAATCTAATGAGTTGATAAGTTGTCACACATATGCGATAACACCACAATGTAGTAAAGGAAGTCTCATTAGTGCTGGAAGGAAAGATATGTAAGATGTATCATTCTTATGATCAAAGTATTCATTGTTATTTGTGGCTATTAAGTGCCCTGTCCTATTCAAGATTGGCTTAAAAAAAATATAAAACTGACTAGTAAAAAAATTTAAAGAAAAAAAGACTACAATTTCCATTCATATATGATTTCTTTTTCATTTGGTTGTTTTCTCACACTAAAACATTTTTCTTTAAATGCACTCCCCCCTGATTCTACCATTCTTTTGGCACATTTAAATTATCTCATTTAAACTTAGATAGGAATGAACACCTCTAGTATGCTGTAATTCTTGGGAGATTATAAGTTTTAGCACCCCACAGAGATTCAATCAAGGTAACAATACTACATTTGTTTAGATCATTGCTGTCATGGATTTTACAAGTGTGCTTGCTTGCTGTTTATGCAAGTGCTGCTTGAAACTTAGGTGGGAACCAGATTTACAAGATCTAAGGAGCATAGTTCCTCTAACTTAGAGGCTAATTAGACCACTTATGGTGGTCCTTCCCCTTTTGCTCATTTAGTTTATACTAAACTTGTTAGAGACACCTTCTTTATTTCAATTTGACTACTCATTTAGGAGTAGCCTCGGTCTCCACCAGCATAACTATCGCACTTTAGAACTTTTAATTTTGATTTTTCAAAGTCAATTTCCTAAGTGTCTCTGACACCTTGCATTGCATATGTTATGTAAACTCCACTCCCCCATCCTAAGAAGTTCTTTATTTGAGGGCACCATCATCCTCTTTCCTATTTCATGCCACTCTAGATGCTAAGTTTCATTTTTTCATAATTTGTGCTAGGGCTATCCACAACCCTATCATTTGGTTACCTTGCTGTTCCCTCCCTTGGATCTTTCACCTTTGCCAAAATGGAGCATTTGGGAATCCATTCTTGAAAACATATTCTCTTTCCCATTATCTATTAGCATCCAACACATAAATGTTCCTTGCTCAACTATGTTGCTTGGATTTCTTCCAATGATTTCCATGGCCTAAATTTGGCCATCAGTCTTTTGCTTCTATCCTTTGATTGTTGTACTAAGTAACATAGTATCATTACTTCCATCCTTAAAGTATCTTTTTGGTTCCATAGCAAATGCTCTGCTTTGCCAAGTCTAAGGGGTGTTCACTCCTAGTAAGTCTCCCCAATGTTTTTTGTGCTTTGGGCTCTATCCATAGCCCAACCTTGCGACCCACCCATGGGTCCTTCCTTGGAGACTATTTTCTTAAACTCACAATACCATTGTATTGTCACAGTTCATTTCCTTTATGTGTCCTTCCCACTTGATCACTTTGACCAAGCCACACAATTACCAATAGTTCAAATCAACATTTTGAACTAGGAACTTTATTCCTTAACCTCATAAAGACTTTGTCTTTGTTTTAAGCATAAGATTACATAGTGATCTAACATCTATACTTTAACAGGATTGCCAATAGGTATTAGGTCTTCTAGACCTTTAATTTGTTGACCATGACCCTAGGGGCATCCCCCACACTTGGCGGTATGCCTAAACTAGCCCTTCCGGCCAAGGGTCTATAGCAACTAAGACTATGTGTCTGCATTTCATTCATCACGCCCTTAGTGCCACTTACACCAAAGTGTTTAAATTAGATATGTTAAGCTTTCATACTAAGCAATTTAACTATGCATCATGACTCTAGGGCATCCCCCACTTGGCGGTGTGCCCAAGTCAGTCTCCTCACTAAGAGTCCATGACCACTGAAAAATGAGTGTCCCCATATTCCAAACCATCACCATGCCCTAGTGAGTTGGGATTCGAACCCAAGCACTAGAAGGTTGGGACTCGAAGATGTTGACTTCAAAAAAGAGGTGGCCTATGGGGCCAAGCATGGAGGAGTCCATACATGATTAAAGACTTGTCAAGTGAAAGGACTTGGCAATTTGGAGGAACTATATTTCTAAGCTATGATCCGTAGCGTGCTTTAAATATAAATTGGTGCACTAGAGTGGGGAGTCACACTAAGTATCTTGGGTGATGCTGTTTGTAGATGCATATATGGAGGTTGGGTTTTGATCCCTTAGGTATTGAGCTTCGTTTGCAACCAGTAGATCGTTCAAGTCCAGAGCGGGAGTGTTCAGCTGCATCCAGCACACTGGTAACCTCATCAAGCAGCAACATTAATTCACCATGGGAATCCAAAAGAGTGCGATCACAAGGGCCATGGACATTTGAATTTCACCAGAGTCTTGTCTGCTTTGAGGAAATGAAAGAGATTTAGCTACAGAACTTCTACAGCTTAAATAATCTCTGTAATGTGCCACAACCATGCCACAAATACAACGTCAAGGGACTAACATAGGAAATTAAGCACATATAGGAAACTAGCCTCTTCCCACACACTTTCCTTTGTTAAAGCCGGAATTCTATGCTTTTTCTTTCTTCAAGTTATTACATTTTCTAAGTGTCAGAATTATGTTTCCATTGCCTTGACGTTTTCGTTCGACCAGTAAAATGTACAGCAATCTGGCATTGATTTTTCTTCAATTTTTAGGAGCTCAATAATTTTTAGCATATTGTATGAGCTCTGGAGCTTTCTAGAAAGACAGCGTGAGCAGTGGATAAATTGCTGGAGGCTTTGAGCAAGAGCTCCTTTCAAGGCAATGAAAGAGATTGTATAGTTGTACTATCATTGAGGTTCAAGCGAAAGGCATTGTGTTCCTTTTTTTATAGCAAGCGTTATACAAATGGTAAAGAAAGAAAAACGTGTCTTGATCTGCTGTTTGGCAACGGCTTCCTGTGAGCAGCCAATTCTAGACCACCTAGACCATTCTAGACAATTTAAATTTAGACTTATTTCATAGAAAACAACTGAAAGGGTATGTTTGTGGCAATGTTGGCAATAGTGAGTCATTATTACATCAACCGCCAATGGCCTTCAGTTTGCTGCCTGTGCCAAACCATAACACTATTTTCAACAAGACAGGACAAGAAAGAAGAGCCAGTATGCAGCAATGTATCCCAAAAAGGTAGCGTTTAGCAAAACTCTTCTAGCTCAACAAGAACAATGTCGCCAACACTATCAACATGCCAAGTCATCACCATAACATCACAATCATACACTAATCTTCACATTCTTGAAGGAAAAATGGAAGGAAACAATCACACTCTAGCCCCTCATCCATCATTCCACCAACTAGCAACATTTTTTACCATTTGCACCATCCACTGCTGTTCCACCACAAGGTAATGGCTTTCTCTTTTTCCCCTCTTGACAAAATTCTTGAGGTTGGACTAGCGACTGTACTATAACACGATCCACAGTTCCTGAGACTAGAGTTCAGGTTTGGTTCTCTGTTGTTCTGACGACTTTCTCCTTTATTTTTCTTTGCATCAATTTCTTTTTATATTTTCTCTTTGTACATTTCCTTGTTTCCCTTCATTTTCTTGTTTACATATCAGCAGCCTGCTGCCACTTGGCATTTGTCTTGACATCTTTGCTCTAGATAAACCTAGTTAGAGCCTGGGGCGTTTGACCATAACAAGTACATGCTATTGCAGCACAGTGAGAATAATATATACCTGGCATCATTCTGGCCACAAACGATTTGAGTCGATTCCTTTCTTTGCTGCCTGCTGCCTCTAAGTGAAAAGGTTGGGCATGAGCTAGAGTGGTGTGAACTCAATGCCTCTGGATCTATTCACATCGCTCTAGCTCATGCTCAAAGATGGAACTTTTCAGGTTATAACCCAAAGTAATTCTATTTAACAAATGTTAGGAAAATAATACCGTGATTGCCATTGTGGAGTCCCTGGTGCAGAAAACTGTTGCCTTCTGCCTAGACTGTTTATGAAGGAGATGCATACCAAAAATCTGAATATTCTATCAATGAATGGCTGAATGTAAAAATGATTTGATTCCAAGGACATTTTTTGTGAGACTGCCCCAAACAGTTGGCCATCCAAGTAGCCTCGACGTCTCTGTCGATTTCAGCAGTGTTGAAGCAGTAGAAGGCGCAGGTCTGTATTATGTGAAGAGCATATATTACTAAAAATAGTAAAAGCAGAAGCATACGCTGGGCCGACAGAGTACGCTTGCTCAAACATCCTAAGAACATCCTCCATCTTTGGTCTTTCCTCGGGATTTGCCTTGGTGCACTCTAAAGCTATCTTTGTACACAAGACAATTTGATCATAGGAGGCTCTACCCATAATAGCTGGGTCAAGTACAGACTGGAGATTATCGGGGAAAGCTTGTTCCATAATTCCTTGAAGGCCACCTTCAACATCATTTTCTACTGGAGCTGCTGGTTCTGTCCCTGTCAAGAGCTCCATAAGTAAAGTACCAAAGCTGAAAACTTCTCCCTCGGTAGTAGGCTCAATGTCTGTAGCATACTCTGCTCCATCCGTGATACATAAATGAGAAAAAAGGAGTAAAAAGAAACAAGAGAAAATGAAAGTGTGTCCACCTGGAGGCAGATAGCCAGTTGATGTTCCAATGCTTTTCTCTGGATTAGTGAATGCTAGGCTTGTGTTTTTCGAACGGATATCACTAATGTGTGCATTGAACTTATCATCGAGAAGAACACTCCTTCCTCTAAGATCACAATGCATGGCTTGAGGCTCATTCCACTCACCATGCAAATACGCCAACCCCTGTGCCACTCCAGCAGCGATATTCATTCGTGAACTCCATGACAAGCTTGACAGGCCTCCTCTTTCCTTGTGTAAGTGCATATCCAAGGTTCCATTGGCCATATGCTCGTAGACCAAGACCTTAAGCTTTGGACTGGAACACGCTCCAAGGTACTTGACAATGTTTGGATGATTCACGGCTTTCAAAAACCTACGTTCCTCGTCGAAGATCTTGTTGTTGTCATTGTAATACTCAGGCCGGAGCCGCTTTACAGCTACTGTCTTACCATTTAGAAAGACGCCTTTGTAAATCGTGCACAGACCTCCATCACCGAGAATCTTATTGTTGTTAAAGTTATCTGTAACGCTCCTGATAGTTGAAAGTGAGAACTCGTCCGGAGGAGCCACCAAATACACTACTCCAGTAAGGACTGAAAGTATTAGTGGAGGAAGAAACAGTCCCATAAGGACTTGCTTCCAGACCTGCGAGCTTGGACATGCTCTTTCTACCACTGGTCCACAGAGTCCATCATTTCCAGGGAAAAAGGCTTTTGCAAACAAGCGCATGGTGTCAGTGTCTGGAACTCTCCCTGTAAGAAAGTTATACTTTAGTCTGAGCATATTAAGTCCTGTTGCCATAGCGAGCGAGTAAGGAATGTTGCCGGTAAGCAAGTTGCGAGAGAGGTCAAGCCTGCGAAGGTCATCTAAATATCCAAGTGATTTGGGTATCGGACCGGTGAGCTTATTCCTTGACAAATCTAATTGGGTGAGGTTAGGCAGTAATGTACCATAACTTTCTGGAACGGGTCCCCTAAAACTGTTGTTAGACAGATCGAGACGTCTAAGACTCGACATGTTGAGGAAGCCAAGGAAGCCCGTAAGCTGATTATTTGCGAGGCTGTAGAAGTTTAAAAACTGCAGCTTGGCAAGATCGGTTGGCATAAACCCTGAAACAACAACAACAACAAGAAGCTATTGCAAGAAGTAGACTGAAAGACGAGAAAAAGCACAATTGCAGATCCAACGTAGAAACTACTTAATAATGAACTTAAAACAATAACGAAAATACAACAAATAAATAAATAAATAAATAAAACAGTAAACTTACCCGTGAGAAAGTTGTTGCTCAGGTCGAGATATTTAAGATTTGGCATCCTTCCAAAGCCTCTAGGAATTGTCCCAATAAACTCATTGTGACTAAGGTTAAATCCCCAAGCCAGCGTTATGTTACCGAGTACTGAAGGAACAATCCCTCGCAGCTGGCATCCCGAGATATCTACATACTTTATCCTCATGCGACGCATATCACATTCGACGCCCTTAAAGTTACATGGGTGCTCGCCTAGTACCCCAGTGGCCTGCCATGTCGCGAAAGTATTTAGTGGATCGTACCAGACAGTCGACTTAAATTCCATAAGCGCCATTGCATCTTGTAGGCTGTTTTTATCAGCCCAAGAAACTGCTATTCGGATCATTGCTAGTAGCAGTAAGACCACCGACATCAAAGTTTTAAGCTCCATGACGATGCTAGAAAACCCTTGGGGGCTCCAAGACGTGTCACGCTTTGAAACGAAGACGTGGCAACTGAATTTTATGGTGGAAAAGATAGCAGAAAAAGTGTGGAAGAGCCTATTACTTTTTCATAAGGCTTGCCAATTACTAAACTTCTCCCTGACAGATCATGTCCCTATTCTACACTTTTCCCAAAAGCACCTACTTTGTTAGGTTTGTCCATGGAGAAGAGGAAGAGAAAAAAAAATAGTATGTAGATTAATCAGATCCCTTTTCCTTGCTGTGCTGATAATTAAGATGGAGACCTTGAATTCTTTTTAAAGCTTTATTCCTTCAGTAATATTATTCAAACTTATTATGAATATACTTGTAATTGCCCAGCCAATGCTGGGCGGTTGGCAACACCTTGCACCACCAACACCAGTTCCTTTAACAAGAGCTAAGATCCCTCAAATTCCCACTTATAATCTTTCTGTTTGAAACACTGTGGACGACATGACAAATTAGAGCTATTAGAGCTTCCAAAACTATCTCATGCTCATCAATTTCATGGGTGTTTATGTACTGGAATTGATTTTCCTGGTCATCCTAAGAGGCTCAGGACGAACTAGCATCATACCTATATACATATCTTCTTTTACCCAGCCCTTGTGTTGGGAAAAAATTTGTGGGATCCAGTGAAACGCAAAAACCTCTTGCATTGCACCTCACCAAACACTCAATGATAAACCCTAGCATGACTTACCTGGACACGTGCCAACTTTGTATCTTCTCTTGCTCCAGCTTTTGTGCCGGCATTGAATTGGCTGTCAAAACATGAAGCTATGTTATTTGGTCCTAGCCAATCAAAGTTGAGGAAATGTAATATCTTGTGAAGGTTATTAAACTAACCACCAATTAAAGTGTAGAGTCATCTTATGTTATGAGTCATCAAAAGTTGATACACAACTTGTATTTCCTTTTTTGTCATCTTTGATGGTCCCTTAATGGACTGTGGCTTGCCCATTAACTCGATCCAGCCGTCAGATTGAGTCAAGTTCTCTGTGAGAACGTGGCTGACAACTGCTAGGTTCTCCAGAACCTGGCTGCCACCTGCCAGGTTCTGGAGAACCTCTCATCCTCAAATAATGTTATTCTATATGTTTGTTAACATTCTCACCACAGCCTATTAAGGCCATTCCCCAGGCACAGGCTCACTTGTTCCCTCCAGAACGTGCTTGCTGGCAGGGTTCCATGTGTCCCCCACCTGGAAATTTCTCCACCCCCAAAAAAAAACTCCCCCTCTAAAATTTACAGTTATATATAACCCACCCTTAAAAATGCCACATCATTAATATAGTTTTTGCCAACTCGGCTAAATTCTTTGTCTTTTTAAGTAATGATTACTATTTTTACACATTTTATTGACTTGTTCTACTGGGTTCCAGGCAGAAATTTTTTTGGGCGGGGGGGGCGGGACACCAGTTCCCCCTTTCCCCCAATTCCACTGCCAGTGCATGGAACAAGGGGTTAAAAGTTTCCCCCCTTGAAAGACTTCTCCTAGGGGGACGCATGGAACCCAGGAACTCCTTCAGCAACTGGCTGTTTGTCAATCTCTTCCTGAAGCTTGCTAGAGAATGGAGATGTTAGCTCATGGTCAACTCCCTCAACAATGACATCACCTCTTGATCCTCCATGTGTTGCTTTCTGGACTTGTAGTTTTTTCCATGGTGTTTTTTGTTTACAGGTCTGAGAATGCAAGTGGTATGAAGCTATAGATGAGTACTTCTCAACAAAACTAAAAAGAAACAAGAATACTAACTGTCATTTCTAGAGATATTGTTGTGAGCTTTATAGTCCAAATCATCTTCCACTTGTTTCTACAAGCAGCAGCATCATTGTCAAAATCTGGACACACAGCTACAAGGCTTGCAAGAACTTCTGCCCAAAGATCAACTCCCTGTTTTAGACACATCCTAAACTCAAGGTTGATGTAAATCAGCCAATTATCCTTCCACTTTGCCCACTTCCCCCTCTCTTCTTTCTCTCCCTTTTCTTCTTTTGCCTCAAGACTCTTGATTTTCTTCTTCTTTCCTGGTTTCTTCTCTACACTCTTCTCAAGCTCAAGAGGGGCAGTTTTGTTGGTAAAAGTGGAGCTTGAGGAGGCACATAAGGCCAAGGCATTCTTTGATGAGAAAAAGGGTTGTGGCACTTGAGAAAACATGGAAGGATGCATTTGGAATGGAATATCGATTGAAAGGAGAATGGAAAACAGAGCTGTGGAGACATACCTGGCCATTAGGTAGATTATGTAGCTTATATGTACATTCTCAATGTCCCTTAGGGACTAATACATTGATTAGGATCCTCTCTCCCTTTACTTGTCGTGAGCTTTGCCCCAAAGAGTGCCCTAAAAATACAATTTTTTTTTTGCGCCAACAAGGGCTAGTAATGCATCGGGGAGTACTCGTCACAAAAGGATCAAGAAAGAAGATCAAGATTGGTTGAGATTGTGAAGGCTATGGGTGAAAAGGTGATTGACCACTTAGATCATTCAATAGAGATCAAGAAGGTGATGCAAAAATCTTTTGACACTCTTGTTAAAACAAGCTTTGATTTGAAATAACTCTTTCTTTTCTTCTTCTGTTGATCCAACTCTGCTTGGTCTCTCCAGTTGTAAGCCCTAGTTTTATGTAGTTCCTTAGAAGTCAAGATAGTTCCACGACGTGGCATTGTTTTAAACCCAATGGAATAGGTCCGTAGTTTATTTCGACTGCTAGAAACTACCTTCTCTATTGTGGAATATGGTTGAGAGTCATGGGGGAGAGAGGAATCTGGAGCTAGCATGAGGTTAGGAGATCAATACAAGGTGGGGTTTGTCTTTGGGATACACGGCATCTCCCAGCGTGCCTGGCTCGGGCTTACACCCGTTTTATGGTGGAGATGAGGAACAACTCATCTTACATGAGCCGGGCACTAGTCATGAGCTGCTTGTTGAGTCAAGCTTTGATGACCAAGTATGAGAACGGTCACCGGGGTAGCATCCTTGGATCTTGTGACCAAGAATGAGAATGGTCATGGGGATAGCATCCCCTAAATTAGTGACCAAGTATGAGAAAGGTACTGGGATAACATCCCTTGAATCTTGTGACCAAGTATAAGAATGGTCACAGGGCATGGTGCCTAGACGGGTAAGCATGTGTAGAAGGTAACAGTCAAGGTAATGCCCAGGAATCACCATGAGAACTGGCAAACGAGGACCAGTCCTAGTGTGAAAGCATGCTCTTGTCTCTTTCTGCTTTTGTTTTTCTTTTCCTGGTTAACCAGGAACGTGCTTAACGTATGTGAGCTTGCAGGCTACCACACTGTTCTTTTCAGGCAAGATGTCTCAAGGAAGGACTTCTGCAAATGCCCCTCTTTCACTGGGAAAGGGGGGAAGCCTCAGAGCAATGGGAAGCTGAGAATGGCAACCCAGCTCTTGACAGTACTGGTGATGAGAAGCTCGCCTCAAGGATCCCACAGTGGCATGTAAGCTGGGAAAGCAGCCAGCTCCCTTGCATCCAAAGCAAGAGGAAGCTCTTCCGCCCAGAGATCTCCTCGGCATCTCATCTCAAATACCCTATATACAGGATGGGCAAATATTTCGACCTTTATCTCGACAACTTTGACTGTGCAGCTCAAAATAACAGGGTGTTTGGCCGCGAAAAGGTAAAGCCACTATGCATGGCACTAGAAGGTGAGTTTTTTGTGGCTCACGGTGGTGGAGCTGTTGACGAGTCATGGGAGGAAGGGCGCAGGCTCTTCCAGCTTGGCAAGCCAGCAGAACGGGCCTTTGTAACAATGCAGGAGTGCAAGAACAAGAAGGGTTTCATGGGGGAGAGAGGATTCTGGAGCTATTGTGAGGCTTGGAGATCAATACAAGGTGGGCTTGATACACGGCATCTCCCAGCGTGCCTCGCTCGGTCTTACACCCGTTTTAGAACCGTGACCCCTGGTTCTTGTGGCCAAATTGGATACTGCAGCTGCTGCTGCTGGCCTTGTTGCAAGCTCGAGGCACTTGAGAGATTGCTCCAGGGATCTCAGCTACGAAACTGGGAATTGTCCCAGCCAGCTTGTCCCCATGTTTGCCAACATTGACATCAACACAACAATGACCACTGAGCCTCCCCAGGGCCTGCAATCGGACAGCCGCGAGGTCTATAGGCTTTTCACTGTCACTATCTACAAAACTGGGAATTGTCCCAGCCAGCTTGTCCCCATGTTTGCCAACATTGACATCAACACAACAATGACCACCGAGCCTCCCCAGGGCCTGCAATCGGACAGCCGCGAGGTCTATAGGCTTTTCACTGTCACTATCTTGAGGTGGTTACATCCAAGATTCACAAATATTCAGCACTATCTGTCTGATCTCGTCCAAATTCCCAGCACTGTTCATGGCACCAAGACATAAACATGGATCTGCCAAGCACTTGTGGAGCAGAATTCATGTGGTGTTTGTATTGCAGCTTAATTTCTTTGAAGTTCTTGAAATGTAGCTTGCTGCACTTCACGGAGGTATGTCAGTCTTCTGCTCTTGGGAGGAGCATTTTTTCGCTGGCTAGCTAGCTAGCTTTAACTAGTTTTTCCTTCATAATCCAGATAATTTAAAATCTGGCCAAGAAGGTTATGTAAAGCAATATATATTGTGTCTAGGTTTGTGATAGATGATCAAAGGAGCTCAAAGGAGTTTTTTTTTATCTTCATTTAAAACTTTAGTTTTGGAGCAGCAGCAAAAACCTTTGGACCAGAGTTAGTGACTGTTGAAAGTGTTTTTTTTAAGCAAGCATTTTCCAAAACACTTCCAGAATATATGAGCTCCACTGCTCTTCTTTTGCCTTTAAAGCTAGCAAATTTGTTGGGTGACATTTCCGTGTAAGATCCAACAGGGATAAAAACTTCTCTAGAGGAAATTGTAAACTGGTTTTTTCTAAAATCTTTCTCAACCTTTCTCAAATCTCCCTTCAGCTCCATAAAACTTAAATATAAA